GACCTGGCTCTGGGAAGGAGTTAATTCTCAAGCTTGCTGGTTAGAATTTGATTTGAGAAGTGATCTGTGTCCCCAGGGAAAGGAAATGCTGACTGTTCTTAAACAAAAGAAAACGGTTTGGATTCCAGTATGGGTGAAAGAACAGCCTCTTATTTGTCTGCCAGCATTACACCTTGCAATCACATTTATATTGCATAAAGGGAGGTCCTGACTAAGAAAAGACACAAAAATCATGCTCTTCTGGCAGCTGCAAAGAGAAAAATCCCTGATACATATAAGTAAGCAAGAAAACACCGTGCAAATTCTTATCAAAAAAATAAGAAGAGCTACTTTTTGGAGCACGCTGCCTTCCAAAGAAAAGCTTCTATGCTTTATCTTGGTATATAAGCCATGGAAGTTGACCTCTGCTAGCAGCACTGGTAGCTGCTACTCACGTCCTTGCGATGTGCTGGTGACCCTTCAGCCTTGGGGCTGGTACATGACAGCCGCAGGGCAGTCTGGCCTTTCTCTGAGCTCACTGCCTTGCCTTTCTCACACCGCCTTGCTTTCTCCTCGCAGGAAAACGCTCCATCGGTGTGACGGCGCTGACGTCTCCTGGGAACATCGGCCAGCGCGGCATCCTGGGCTGCACTTTCGAGCCCGACATCCGGATGGGCAGCATAGAGATCCGGTGGGCCAAGGCGGGAGTAGCTGGGCTGGTTCACGAGTTTAGAAGTGGGAAGGACCACCTGCAAGAGCAAGATGCGTCGTTTCAGGGCCGCACGGCTGTGTTTGCAGACCAGGTGATGGGCGGCAACGCTTCCCTGGAGCTGAGGGACGTGCAGCTCTCTGATGCCGGCACCTACCGATGCTCTGTCACCACGGCCAGAGGGAGCGGGTCGGCAGTGCTGCGGTACAGGACGGGAGGTGAGGGGTACAAGGAATAAAATCCTACTGCAAAAGACATGCTGACACGGCTCGGTTGGACCCACCTGTGGTTATGCTGATGCTAGAGGCTGTGTGAGAGGCACCTGCTCCTCCAGCAGCCACCATCAGACCCTGCACCCCTGAGTAGGACTGGCGTATTTTTTTGGCTTTTACAGAGGTGTTTATGGCCTTACCTGCTCCTTCAACATCCTCGTTCTAGAAAAGATTATTATTTTAATGCTCTCAGTTATCTTTTTTCTTCTATTTACCACATGTAGTCTACTAGCTACTTAACTGACTACAAAGAGCCTCTAAGAATGGGAGTAGCTATTTGATCTTTTAAAGATCCAGATTTTATACCTGTTAAAGATAAAATGATAGCTTTTTCTCTCTAGAATTAAGATAGATGTCCAGCCAGAAGTGCTGCATAGTAAAAATTGTAGCCTATTTAATATCTTTTTTCTGTTTATCTAAAGTATTCAGTTTTTAAAAATGACGATGGAAGCAACAAACCACTCATATCATAGTTATCTGAAGCACGACATATTTGCTAGAGTTAATTGTTCACCTTGTTATGAGTTGACCTCAAAACACGCACAGACACAGATGAACTTTCACTTGTGGGTGCTTAATTCTTCTGAACCCTCTGGGCTTGGACGTCGTGTTCACCGCTGGCACAAAGCAATGCACTCCCACTGAACTTGGCAGCATTTCACCCGTTTCTGTCACCTCTGGGTCTTTCTAATGAAATTGTGGTGAGTTACACTGACTATACAATGGGGATAATGTGAGCCTGCACAGGTAGGTGGTCTTAGTGTTTCTCTGGGTGGCTTTTGCTGGCACCCCTGAGGTCTCAGCATATCCCCTGAACTCAGGGTTGGCACAGTAGAGTGAGTCCATGACCTTCCAGGGAAAGTTTCTAAGTTAGCCAAGGGAATTGCCAGAAAGGAAGGAAAAAAGTTCTCCATGGCTCTCCAAACGTTGCAGTCAGTCCTCCAGGAGAGATCAAGAAACCCCTAGGTCTTCACACTCTTCCAGCGAGGAGACTTTGGCTGCAGTAACAAGTCACCTCCTAAAGGGTCACCTCATGTTGGAGACTGATGGATGAACCACTTCAGGGTCTCCTGCAGACTGCGGTCTTTGCACCCTCTCCCACACCACTGCGACCAGCATTGCTGCCCAACAGTTCAAACTGGGAGAGCAAAACCTGTCAGACCTCTCCAAGTCAAGGAAATGCAGTTTTAGGATGGATGACCACGTATGTGGTGAGGCCAGATGTACCAGAAGCATGGTGGGAGTCCTCTGTGCTTCAGGCCAGTCGTAGCAGGACGGTAGTAACCAGCAGAGCTCTTGAATGAGACAGGCTGCTTTTCTGCAGATCCGATCTTCTCCTTTGGCCCAGCAGAGCCAAAGCACCAGGAGACGGGCACCAGCTTCTGTGCAGATGTCTTGGAGATGCAGTCACTTCCCCGTGTCGCTCACAGGGAGCCCATCTTGGGACAGAAAGGCAGTATGAGAGTTGGTGTCACAGTAACATCTGCCCAGTGTCGTTTCATAGTCTCCCATTTCTCAGTAAAAGTGTGTTTTCTGCTCTGTTGTTATGTGAAGCACCTCCCCAAGCAGTGGAAAAAAAGGCTGCTGGGCTCACGGGCCCCTCATCTTGCAATGGCAAGGATGGAAGAACTGCTTGGGACTACAGTAGGTAACAGCAAGGCCAGGCGGCTTTGGCTTATGTCTGAAGCATGCTCAGATCCCGTGGGGACTTGATCTCCTACCTCTCCTTGAAACCTTGCGAATCTGCCTGCTTTTGTGTTGTTTGATTCGGTGTCGAAAGTAATCCACACAGAAAAGGCATTAGAGAGAACATATAAAACACTGCATTAAGTTTTGTTTCCATTGAAACTGGTGAACTCTGCTCTCCTAAAAAGCTCTTATTTCTCTTCACATATGTGCATGCGGGAAATATGATGAGACCAAGGCTAACAAAGTTTTATTTGAGATGGTCTTGGCTTTAAAACACAGCTGAGTTTGCAATGGGCTTTAAACTTTGTTTAATCCAGGGTTGTTGGCATAAATCCTGCAGCTCAGGCCACACCTTAGTCTGCCCTCAGCCCCAGTAGGTGCAGATGGAGCTTCCCTTGGCTGCAGCCCCATTGAGTGTCATAGAGTCACCTCGTGAAGCCGTAGGTGTCGGTCAGGCTCCCTTCTCAGTCAGCGGAGAGGGTGAGTCATCTTCCCCTTCCCCACCCCCCCGGTCTCTGATAACAGCAATCATTTTTGGCATGCTTCTCCCTACCAAGAATAGCAGGTGCCTCCTTTCAGCCCCTGGTCTTCAGCACTGGTGAGCGGAGCTGTGCCGGCTGTGGCTCCAGCCCAGCACACATGGGCAGTCTCAGGACGGCCAGGTCCTGAGCCCCCTCGCCTCTGGGAGCTCTTGGGAAATGCTTGGTTTATCAGCCCGGGACCCAGCTCGTAACTGTTAAGCAGAACCACTTAAAGACACTAAAGCTGTGCCGTGACCACAGCAGAACTTGTCAAACTGGACTGCCTTGTCCTCGGAGTCTTTAGATTCCCTGTAGTCATTTCCCTGTACAGACCGCTGTCTGAGCCTCTGGTTTGGCTACATGCAGTGCTGCGATGCTAAGGAGCAAGTAGTCTAGAAACACCTGATACTGACGCGCAGATGCAGTTGGGTGTTTCATGCCCAGTTTCGAGACATTTGCCTTTTTCTGACTCTCTCCCCTTTTTCCCTCCCAAAGCCTTCAGCACACCCAAGGTCCACGTGGAGAACAGCAGCAGCGGGGACACGTTGCAGTGCGAAGCACCGCGCTGGTTCCCTCGACCTGCTGTGCGCTGGACAGCCTACAGCGACGCCGGGGAGTACCTACCTCACGTTGCCAACACCAGCTACGAGCTGAACGCTGAAAACATCACTCTGAAAGTGGTTTCCTTTCTGCACAACATTACTGCTAACGCCACCTACACCTGTGTGATTGAAAACAACATTGCCAAGGCTACAGGCAACATCAAAGTGACAGGTAGAGTTTAACACCACCCAGAGACCACAGGCGCAGGGGAGAAGAGAGTTTAAACAGTGCGCAGGTGTCGGTTGGGGGGTTCCTGCAGCACCTGTGTCAGTCAAGGAAGGGACTGAAATCCGTGGCTAATCCAAGCACCTCTCTGTCTCTGGGATGAAGGAAAGGGTCTGTGTTTGGTCCTGCTATTTCAGATGTTTTTCATGGCAACAGCTGCTCCCTTGGCACAGGGACAGAACTGCCAGGGAACGGGAAGGAAGGAGACACTTCAAAAGAATGTATTCCTTTGAATGTTAACCAAAACCAAACCAACCAACCAGCCAAAAACCTGAACTTTTAACACTTTCTTTAGCCAGTTCAGCTTAGACCCTTTTTGCGTACCAAACCAGCAGGCCCCGCTAGCTGTTACTGATGACAATCTCTCTGACTCCAGCCCACCCCCTTTATTTAAAAGGCCACCTTATTCACGGGAAAGTAAACTTTCCAAAAGCCTGGATATCTTCTCCTGTTCTACATGAGAATGGTCATAGGTCTTCTACAGCGAGGCCTTCATAGCAGTGGGTCTCCAGCAGAAGAGGCAGGGTCTATCTTTATCAATATTCAGAAAAACAGGGAGGAATATATATGCACACTCATTTTGCCTTCCCTGATGTGTTCCCCATTCTGGTAGCCTCTCACTATTCTTCCACTACAGATTTCAGCATTACAAGGGGGACGAACTTGCAGCTGGTGAACCTGAACGCAGAGTCAGCGTCCTCCTCTCTCCCAGCCTGTCATGGGATGCTTCTGCTTCCCCTGTATCTGCTGTCGATATAAAGCCTCTACAAAACAATCAGAAACACTGTTGGACCTGGAGGTAAGCTTGGAAATGGAAACTGATAAGCAAATATGCTCAGTATAAGTATATATAGACCCTCTTGCTGAGCTTGGTTACAGCAGCAGACCTATCTCAAGCCTGCCAGAATGGGATGACATGTCTTTCCCCTGTGCTTGCCCTTTCCCCATCCCCAGGTTTAGGTAGGATGCATGGCTTGTCCCTCCCACAGGCTCCCTGACAGGTTCCCCCATCGCTTTCTGCAACCTTAGAGATTCTTCTCTTACACCATCAACTGTCATCTCTTACTTGTCCCCTCATTATCTTTTCCTTCCCTCCTCAACCTTTTCTCGGACCCAAAAGACAGACATCTTGCTTGCTGCTCTGTGCACCCTCTGAGCCTTGGCTACAGTTTATGGCTGCAAGGCAGTGTGGACTTTTTCCTCTCCCTCCTCATGAGACCTGCTGCAGTACAAGCCTTGCTTAAACCCACTTTACTCAGACAGCTCCACTGCAGAGTGCAGTATCTTCAGTACCTACTACGGACACCTTGAACAGGGCAAGACAGAGCTGCCAGCCTGAGCAATCCCACCTAGACCTGGAATAAGGAGGTCTGTAGACAGTCAAAGCACAGGACAACTGCCTTCAGTATTCACCAGCTTTGGCTTTGGGTGGTAGGCTCTAGAGGTAAACTGGTGATGGAGAGCTACAGGTCATCAGCTAAAAGAAACATCTCTGTCTTTCCACGCAGAACAGTTACCACAGCTACCCAGACAGCAGGACATGCTTCATGCTTTCCTCCCTCTTGGGCTGAGAACTTTATGAGCTTCTCCTAGTTCCAGAGCATGCAGTAGCACAAACCTGAAACCAGCTGACTTCTCTTGTATTATTATTTCTTACCCATGCCAACAACAGGATATTTTGGGTTCAGAAAGAGAGCGAGGAATGCGATAAGGACAGTTGCATAAATAAAGGAAAAACTCCAATCGCAGGAACAAGATGTGTTGCCTTGTCGAAGTAACCCAGTGACCAGAACTCTGATCATGGGCACAAGCTCAGAAACAAACAGGAAAAGCGTTTCCTTCAATACAGCTGAGAACTGGTCCTTCAAACTCAGAGTACTAAAAGCAAGCAAATCTTAATTCCCCCCAGATTTGATTCATCCATCTCTTGTCTTGTGATTCTCTGAATGTACTAATAAAACTGTGAATCAGAGAGCCAGTTAGTCTACTCAGAAGACTATGATCAAACTCCCCTTCTGAAAAAGATGTTGTAAATGGCAAAACAGCAATGGGTTAGAAAATAGCTAAAAGGCTTGGAATAAGTGTTAGGTCTTCAACCTGGCAAAAGCAAACAGCATGTCTAAAGTCCTATATGAGGACTGATAATTGCATTTGGAATGTGAAATAAAAGAGGAACAGGTGAGTAGTAAGTGTGGCAGCAGACAGAAGACTAACATACATGAGGAGGAAAAGAGGGACACTATTAAGATACTACTGGAAAGTTCAAATTCAGAAGTAAATGCCGTTATTAAACATAGATATGACTACAGAGACAAATTTGCCTTTTTTGTGTCTAAGTAAGTCTGTTATCGGCTCTTCCTGTCTATTTCTGTAGCACTGTCTGTCACTATGTTACTCATATTACAGGACTACTTTCAGTTGCACTTTTTAATCAGATTTTGAGCTCTTCATCTTACACCACTTACAGTCAACATTTTCCTCAGGCTGAGATAGCTTACTTTTTTTTTTTCGTTTTCTTTAGGGGTAAGCTTTAGCAAAATCTTTACCATTTTGCAGAAAGCACCTCCAGAAAAAAAAAAAGACTGTCACAGCAAAACTTGTGTAGACCTTTGCTTTAAGCTGTTTTGGCAACCTCTTTTAGGTTGGAGTCTCAGAACTTGGTTGAATGGTGGCATCTGTCAGGTCTTGTGCCACTCATGCTTTGGTCTTGGAAGCAGCCAGCAGGCCTTGAGAGGGAAGATACTTTACATGTGCTCAATAAAGCCACTGCCTGAAGTTTAATATATAGCTCAAACTAAGGGGGAAGCGGGAAAGGCAGGCGGGAAGCAGTGAACAAACAAAACCCAAAACAGAGCAGCTGTTCAAACGTGCTGTCAGCACTACACACCGAATAAGGCAGGGAATGTGTGGAATTTACTAGCCTATAGAACAAGATGAAGTATGTGGATGTTATTTTGCCAAAAGCAAGTGCAGAACGCTTGGTCACCACTGCAAGCAGATGGGAGAGGAATCTCTTCAAATGATGATCCTCCACGTATTTGTATTGGCTAGTCTGCCGTGCCACCGTGGATACTGGCACGTGCCATGCAGTCATCCCCTTCCTAATCAGGAACAGATGGGCAAGCCTGTACCACGTTCTGAGTCACAGCTCGCCGCCTTCCTCTTGTTACCAGCTCCATGTAACGTTCAGGTCACTGCTTAAGCTACAAAACAATGCTCGTATAATCCTGTGATTTAGTACCGTGATTTAGTTTCCAAACAGTAACTTCTCCACTTCCTTTCTCTTCTTGGAGGAAGGAAATGCTTTAAAAATGTAATTTTAATAATTTTAATTAGGTTAAGAAGACTGTCCTCTGTGGCAACTGTACAGTTTTGCATGAAGACAGCAAATGATCTGCAAAATGCCTGGCTCTGTCTCATAAACCAAGGGTCTACATTCTGCTTCATTCCCCATATAGCAAGTAAACCTTAATACTAAAATAGATACGGTGTTATTTAGACTGAATTTTAATAGCTTTATTTAGTAGATACTACCACATAAAATACACACGTTGTGTGCCCTAGGCCCAAAGCAACTGCTATCATGTAGGAAGTACTGAACATCTCTCTTCCAAAACGTAGCCCAGTATCGCTGGTGGCAATGGTCCAGAATGACCAGGAATCCCACAAGTCACAACAGCTTCTTGACTGCACCCTTCACCCTCTGCTCACAGGCCCATGCTCCCACTGGAAAGGGGATTTAAAAAAGCTTTCAATCCCAGTAGGTAGTTCCATAATTCCTCTCCCACTGGGAGAGATGTTAAGCAGTGACTCCCACCCGGCAGTCAGTAGATGTCCTCCTAATCCTCTCGCTGCTCAGATAGCTTAAGGCGTCTTGTTCCACTTCCGCCACGTTCAGGCACAGCAGGCTCTGCCAAGGTCCCACCTGCGACACAAACTCCACTTCACCGCACCGAAAATTCCTCAGCTGCAGTGGAGCTGAAGGGGAAAGATACAACCTGTAACAACTCAGTACAGGGCTCCTGCTCTGCTCTAGCACATAGCTGTAGAAGTTGCTGGGGGCGGGAAGGGCTAGCAACAGCTGCTTGGCATCTGCTAAAACCTCAAAGGACAGCATGATTAATGAATCCAGAATGTAAGCAGATAAATGCATTTGGCCAGCATCTCTCCAACTTGGAGGAAACAGACATTCTGCGCTGTGAAATGCTGTGAACTACGTGCTGCTCACATAGCTGATGCACTGAGTTTTTAATCTTATATCACTATCAGCAACCTGGCCTTACAGGCAGTGTTACATGATAGCCAAAAGATAATGTCTCCATGGCAGAGCATCCTCTGGCGAGCTTAGCAAATCAACTCCTGCAGCACCTGGACTCATACTCAAGCGCTAGTGTTAGTGTAGTGTTAGTGTAAGCAGCTAAGGAGAATGTCCCCTTAACACAGCAACTGCACAGTTGTGGCAGCATGAGCTCAGACATCAGCACCCATGAATTCGAAACTTCTGTGCTTTAAATGCTGTGGCCATGGTGAGGATTTCCAGGCCTAGTCTTGACTCTACGTGCTGTCCACTTGATTTGAGAGGTCTACACAGTTACTCTGGCTGGCCAGAATCCCATCCCATCCCATCCAAGGACTGGGAACCTTGATCTAAAAGAGCTCTATGCTTCCGTGTCAAGTAGAAAAATTAATATATAATATTGTTGTAGATTGTGACTTCTATAATATTATTTCTGTATTTTTGTAACCGTGGTTCTGCTAAGACACATCTTAGCGCTACGCTACAGAATTCACAATTCCATGGAAATCCTCCAAAGATCTTGCTTTGTGGGCAGTGAAGGCAGCTCTCCTTCCCCAGCCTGGTAAGACGGCTCCTCCCTTCCTTCCCACGCTAAATATTACAAAAGCCAACAGTGCTTGCTTACCAGGCTGCAGAATCTTGGAGGGCTTCCTGTCTAGG